CAGTACTCCTCTCGCTCTTCAAAGAAATTGAGAGGAATGGAATTCACTGGTGGAAACCCATATTACTCACCTGTCCCAAAACCCTATAAACACCCAACTGAAACAACTATAGGCCGATCTCTTTGGACATAGATTTAAAAAAAAAATCCCCAGCAAAATATTAGCAAATGGAATGCAGCATATTATCAAAAAGATCATGCATCATGATCAAGTAAGCTTCATCCCAGAGATACAAGTATGCTTCAACATATGTGACTCAATAAATGTAATACATCACACAAACAGAAGCAGATCAAAAATTATATGATCATATCAATAGAGAAAATGCTTTTGACAAAATCCAACACAGCTTCATGATAAAAAAACTGAAGAAAACAGGTATAGAAGGACCATCTCTGAATATGATAAAGGCTATTTATGACAAATTAATAGCCAGCATCATACTAAGTGAGAGAAAACTAAAAGTATTCCCTCTAAAATAAAATACATGACAAGGATGTCCACTATCATTTCACCTCTTCTATAGTACTTAAAACATTAGCCAGAGCAATTAGGCAAGAGAAAGAAATAAAGGAGTTACATATAAGAAAGGAAGAATTCAGATTATCATTATTTGAAGATGACATGATATTCTACATAGAAGAGCCAAAGCCAGGCATGGTGGCACCCCACAGCACTCGTGAGGCTGAGGCAGGAGGATCGCTGTGAGTTTAAGACCAGCCTGGGCTACACAGTGAGTTCCAGGGCAGTCTTGACTACATAGTGAGACCCTGTCTCAAAAGAAAAAACAAAGAACACCCAAAAATAAACTCTTAGAAGTAATAGGGAACTTCAGCAACGTAGCAGGATATAAGATCAGCTCACAAAAATCATTAGCATTTGTGTACACCAACAATGAACAGATTGAGAAGGAAATTGTGAAAATATCATTCACAGTAACTTCTACAAAAATGGAGAACTTAGGAATTAACCTAACTTAAGAAACGAAGACTCTACAAAGAAAGTACAGTTCTCTGAAAAAGGAGATCGGAGAAAATGAAGAAATTTCCATCAGCAAATGGAAAGATGTCCGTTGCTGCTGGATAGGTAGTAGAATCAATATTGTCAAAAGGATTATACTCCCAAAACTGTTACATAGATTTACTGCTGTCCCAATCAAAATACCAACAGCATACTTTACAGATCCAGAAAAAAAAAATCCTAAAATCCATTTGAAACTGGAAGAGATCCAGAATAGCAAAAGTAATTTTGGGCAATAAGAGTAAAACAGGAGAAGGGCCAGGGATTTAGCTCAGTGGTTCTGCCACCTGCCTCACAAGCGCAAGGACCCAAATTCAATCCTGGTACAAAAACGAAAACAAAAGTAAAACAGGAGGCATAGCAATACCTGACTTCAAGCTATATTACAAAGCAATAGTTATTTTTTAAAGTGGCATAATACTTAATAATAATAAAAAGAGATATATGGATCGATGGAATGAATTGAGGATACAGAAATTTCCCCAGACGTATTCAACTATTTGATCTTTGACAAGGGGCCAAAAGTATATGTTGGAGGAAAGATAGCTTATTCAACAAGTGGTTCTGGGGAAACTGGTTGTCCGTATGCAGAAGACTGAAATTGGACCCTTCTCTCTCACCATATATTAAAATAAAAATGGATCAAAGGTCTAAATATTAAAATGGAAACATTAAACCTACGGGAAGATAAAATAGGTAAAGCACTTGAAGACATGTGTAGGAAATATTTGCTAAACAGAACCTCCATTGCACAAGAAATAACAGCAAGAATCAACAAATGAGATTTTATCAGACTAAAAAGCTTCTGTGCAGCAAAAGAATTAATCAGTAAAGTCAAGGAACAACTTACAGAATGGGAAAAAAATTTTGTAAGCTACTTCTTAGACAGAGGAGTAATAGCTATAATATACAAGAGCTAAAAAAATTAAACCACTTAAAATTAAAGGCATAGTCAAGAAATGGGTATGGGAAATAAACAGACACTTCGTAGAGGAAGAAAGATAAAATGGTCAACAAATACAAGATAGAACCTGGTATGGTGACATACCTGTAATCCCAGCACTTGGGAGGCTGAGGCAGGAGGATCTCTGTGAGTTCGAGACCAGCCTGGGCTACATAGTGAGTTCCAGGTCAGTGTCAACTACATACTGAGACCTTGTCTCCACAAAAGAAAAAGAAAAAAAAAGCAATATATGATAAAATTCTCAACATCGCAAGTCATCAGAGAAATGCAAATTAAAATAACACTAACATTTCATCTATTCCAGAAAGAATGGCAGTCATTAAGAAATCAAACAATAGGCCAGGTGTGGTGGCGCATGCCTGTAATCCCAGCACTGGGGAGCCTGAGGCAGGAGGATCGTTGCGAGTTTGAGACCGGCCTGGGTGACACAGTAAGTTCCAGGTCAGTCTCAACTACATAGTGAGACCCTGTCTCAAAAAAAAAAAAAAGTCAAACAATAACAAATGAGAAATGCTGGAGAGGCAGTGATGAAAAAGGAGCCCTCCTATATTGTTGGTGGGAATGTAAACTAGTACAACCATTACGGAAATCAGCATGGAGATTTCTCAAAGAACTGAAATGAAAAATTCCATATGACCCAGTGATGCCCCTGCTAAGTATCTTCACCAAAGAGTGGAAAACATCATATTATAGAGATACATGCATGTTTATAGCCACTCAATTCATAATAGCTAAATCCTGGAAGCAGCCCATATGGCCATCAACAGAAGATTAGATAAGGGAAATGTATAACTATATAAAGTGGAATAGAGGGGATTTAGCTCAGTGGCTCCACCACCTGCCTCGCAAGCACAAGGTTCCGAGTTCAATCCCCGGTACTAAAATGGATTTAAAATGCTATAAAAATAACAGAGTTGAGACATTTGTAAGAAAATGGATGCACCTGGAAAATATAATACTGGGTGAAATAAAACAAACACAGACACTTAAATACCATGTGGTATCTCTCATTTGAGTGAGCCAAAGTACAAACAATGAAAATAATAAGCATGGGTAGAAGGGAACAAAAAGATGGGTCTCTTACATTAGGGAAGTGATCCAAGGGAAAAAGTGCACGGGGTGAGGAGGAAGAGAAGGGAAAATCAGTAGGATAAAGGCATATTGTGCCACGTATAGGAACGTAATAACCTCAATAAAGGCAAACATTGTATCCCTAACATGAGCTAAGATTAATAATATCAAGAAGAATGAAAAATGAAATAGGGGAATAGCGGGGGCGGAGCAAGGTAGAAGGAAGGGAGGAGAAGGAGATCTTAAGGAAAACAAGCTATGGTATGCACATTAACCACTCCCCGGATGATTATAACCTGCATGGACTACAAACATGTACTGATAAAATAAAAATTAAAAAAGAAAAAGTTTTAAGTCCACTTTTATTTTTTTTAATCTATAACCACCACGCTATGGAATAGAACACCAGAGCTGCCTCCTCCCATCCAGCTGTAGCTTTGTACCTGTCGACCAATGTAATCTGTTAGCCAATGTAGCCGTCAATTAAAAAAATAAGAACTTTCAATTTTACTAAAGGAGTAGTTAACTGGAAATGTATACAGTTTCATGGTATAGAGGAGAATTGGCTCAGATTTCTTGAAATGATTGTGAATAAAAAGCTTTTTAAAATATCTATACCTTTTGACAGGAATGAAGATTTAGTTACAGAGATTTTGATCATGGGCTGAGGGTGTAGCTCAGTTGCAGAGTGAATGCTCAGCATGAACGAAGCCTGGGTTCCATCCCAACACCAAACACACAGGAACACAAGATGTTAATCGTGCCATGTCTATATTGTGCTATAATAATGAATTAAGGAGAGCTCAGACACAACCTAATCATCCACCAGGAATGGCTAAATAAAGTTTTGTGTGTTTTGGGGGGATGGTACTGGAGATCGAACTCAGGACTTTGCACTTGCAAGGCAGGCGGCAGAGCCACTGGCGTAAATCCCCAGCCCTAGGATAAGTAATTTTTAATTTGGAAAATTTAAGCAATTTCATACAAATTTTAGCGACACAAGGAAAATGTTTACAATAAAATATTAGGTGAAAAATGTAGGAGACAACTTCAGAATGACCTTGTAACAGTTATATACAAAAGAAATAAATGAACAAAAAGACAGAAGTAATCATGTCAGAGGAATAGTTATCTCTGGGCAATAACATCATGCAAAGAATCATTTTCTACCCTTCATTTTATTCCTTAGGAGATTTTCCAAATGTTCTATTATAAGTATGTATTCCATTCACTTTAAGAAAAAAATAAACTTTTATTTTCAAGAAATATAATTACTGCATTGTTTTCAAGAAAAAGTAACAGAAATAATAAACCAGGCAGGGCCAATAGGAGGAAAGATGCAGCTGGGAGAGACATTAGAGGCACAGGCCTTAGGGCGTGGACCAATTGCTCTGCAGCCGAGGGAGAGAATCTGACTAATCAGTGAGTATCTGGGAGAGATGGAACATTAACAGATACCTGGAAATTTTTTTTTTAAATTGAGAAAAGAGTATGAGCTTTTCAGTATAGGCTCTAAGTTTTTTTTTTTTTTTTTTTTTTAGATACTACTATATGAACCTCAAGTAACTGCCACCTATTCAATGCTCTTAAAACCAACTTCAAGCTGAGGTGTAGGTGGCAAGGCATTTCTAAAAAGCCTGTCTTGCCCCTCCACAAATCACAGACAAGAAGTTCTAAAATTAAATGCTAATTGTCTTGTGTGAGGTGAAGTTGTTGTCTAACAGCATGAGCTGGGCTACCCTGGTAGTAGGGCTCCAGCGGGCCAGGCCCTGGTGCCCTCACCAGCCCCTCTGAACCAGTGTGGGCCTCGCTCCCTGGGAGTATACCTGTGACCTCTCAGTAAATATGAAGGAAGTGATTACTGGGCTATATCGTGCCCCATAAACAATCTATTTCTGGGTAATGCTTTTTTATTGCTGATTTGATCTGCTTGTTATTTTCAAAGGAAAAAGTAGGCAATGTTCTGAAGCCAGGATTTCGACGAGATATAAGAAGTAAATGTGAATTCAAACAAACCTCAAAACATGTCACCATCTCAAACCTAACACTGACTTTTGAAGGCGAAAGATGTTTGCAAACTACCTTGACTCCAATAAAAAGTGAGACAAACATATCCAAAGAGATGAGTGATAAAACCTCTGAAGAAAAGAAGACTGATTTTAAAGACACAGCTCTCAAAACGGTAGAATCCAGGTATGTGACTTAGGAAAATACTGTGAGGATTCTAAGTGTGAAGTAATGTAAATAGATGTGTGTTTTAAAGTCATTGTAATTCACATACAGTGTAAATGAGTGATCATATAGTCAACTTTTAACTATCTACATTTGGTTCAAACTTGGCTGAATTTCATTACACACCAGCCTCTTACACTAGTTCCTATTTCCAGCTGTTGGCTTGGTACCAATTGAGTGCTTTGGAAAATACACTGGAATCACACAGTGTTCACATTTTAGAGTTGGAACGTCGAGTGATTGCGTGTATTTTTTCTTTTATCTCTATATTTCCCTTATTTTCTTCTCTACATATCCTCTCTATACCTCTAAACTTCTCCATACTTTGAACTGATAGTAAATTTTTAAAGCTATTTTCATAATTGCAACAGCCTTATTGAAAACTTGATTACATGCTGAATGTGAGAACTGTAGTATTATAATCTGATCATTCTGAGTTAGCACTCAAAAAGAAAAAAGATCTAAATGCCTGTGTTAATAGGATGGAGCCAGTGGTGCACTCTTGTAAGAAGGCTAAAGCAGGAGGACTGCTTGAGCCCAGAAGTTCAAAACCAGCCTGGGTAACCTTGTATTGAAAAAGAAAAACGGAAAAAGTGCATTATTAAGAATGAAAAGAAAAAAAAAGAATGAAAATAAGGAATGTAATTAATTATGTCTACTTTTTAAAGAATTATAAAAAGGAATAGGGCAGGGAAAACAAGAAAAATGAAAAATTAACCTAAAAAATTAACTAAGAAAACTTTAAAAGAATTTAATGTGCTAAAAAGAGCATAGTTAGGGCCAGGGATGTAGCTCAGTGGTTCTGCCACCTGCTTCACAACCACAAGGACCTAAGTTTGATCCCCAGTACCAGAAAAAACAATACTACTAAACACATTCTAGCTAGGTGTGGTGGTGCACACCTGTAATCCCAGGACTCGGGAGGCTGAGGCAGGAGGATCGCTGTGAGTTTGAGACCAGCCTGGGCAGTATAGTGAGTTCCAGATCAGTCTCAACTACATAGTGAGACCCTGTCTCAAAATACCAATAAATAAACAAACAAACAAACAAATAAATAAATAATAAAAAGAACTTGGTTGATTCTTCACAGGAACAAAACTAGAAAAGCATTGGGATGACTGTTTTAAAAAGTGAAAGTGAAACTTTCAAAGGTGTTATATCAACTTACAGGAATAACAATAAAATGTTATTGAGAAGGTTTACATACAACTCTGCTTTAAAGGCTTGGAAAAACTAAATTTAGTAAACCACAAACAAAATGGCAAGAAGTGACACAATAAAAAATTGAGAACTTGAAGAAATAGAAAATAATTACCAAAGAACTCCCATTAAAGGAAAAGACATAGTTTTGACATTTATTGGACAGTTTTTAGATACTCTAGAATTGTCTTTATTTTATGTACTGTTTTCTTTTAAATATAAAAATATTTTGTTTTCCCAATTTCCTGAAGCAAATGACTGATCTTGTTTTTAAAGCCAAAGTTGTTACAAGAAAGAAAATTCTAGGTTAATCGTATTTCAGATAATAAATGCTAAATTCTTAGAACCTCGGCTGACAAAATATAACAAGCTCAGTATAAAATCAAGAAAGCTTAATCATGTAGATATGGAAAAGCAGAAAATTCATAATACTTAGACACATTTGACAATTTTCCCTTCCTGCCCCTCTCCCTCTTCTCCCTCTCTCTCCCTCTCTCTCCCTCTTTCTCTCCCTCTTTCTCTCCCTCTCCTCTCCCCCACTCCCCCCGACACGCCTGGCACTGGGAATATTGAACGTAGGGCCCTCAGACTGAGCTGCATCTCTGCCCCTTTCTTAATTTCTAATTCTGAGAAAGGGTCTTCTTAAGTCACTAAGTTACTGAGGCTGGGCTAGAACTTGTGATCTTCCTGCCTCAGTCTCCCAGAATGCTGGGATTACAGATGTGTACCACCATACCCAGACACAAATTTGTATACTCGATGACAGAAAAGATTCACATAACAGTGAGTTTCCCTTTTTCACAATAAAGAATATTTACTTTAAACCAGAGCCAACATTAATTATTTTTAATGAAGAAATTCTAGGGCTGAGAGTATAGCTCAGTGATGGATTACTTGCATGAGCCCTGTGTTAGATTTTCCCAGCACAGAAGAAGAGGAAGGGGGAAGAGAAAAGGAAAAGAAAAGAAAATGGAAAGGAAATAAGAGGAAAAGAAAGGGAAAAAATTCTAGAAGTGTGGTTTTTCAAACAGGATAAATTGAGAATATTCTCATGAATATTTCTATGTAATATAATTTAAGAGGTTCTAGCAATCATAATAGGACAAAGAAATATAAAGAAAAAATTAAAAATTTAAATATCACTGTTGGAGCCAGGTGTGGTGGCAGATGCCTGTAATCCCAGCACTTGGGAGGCTGAGGCAGGAGGATCACCACAAGTCAAGGCCAGCCTGGGCTACATAGTGAGACCCTCCAAAAAAAAAAAAAAAAAGAAGAAGAAGCACAGAAAAAATAAAAGAAAATGCAAGACAATGTATTAAAGTTATTATTAAGTTATATCACAAAAATGAAAAGGATAAATTATCTTAAAACAAGCTAAAATAAGCTTGAAGAAAATGGAATTGTGTCACTGCCTCAGTCACAGAGAAAAGTTCATTTCTTGTCCACTGAAGCAACAAAATTTTCAATGGCAAAGCAGACTTCATTCACTCAATATTTAATGAATGCTAGGCACTGGGGATATGGCAGTAAAAATAATCAAGTCCCTGATTCTTGAAAGGTATTATTCTAGTGGAAGAGGTAGATCATAAATAAATAAAATATATTTTCCAGCTGCAATGTGCTATAAGGGGTGCAGAAGGTGATTTAAGGAAGGCAGGAGAATATTTTACAAGGATGGTCAAGGATAGGCTCTCAAGGAAGTGGTATTTGATCAGAGAACTATGAAATTATGGAGTTCCAGGGGAATAATTCCAAGCTGCATAAAAATTACAAATATCTTCCAAATAAACAATTTTACATACATACATAATGTTCACAGAGCTGACTGGGAATAGAAGAATAAAAAATTGTATATAAGTAGCTGGTGGGAATTTCTTAAAGATCCAATTAACAAATGATTTAAGAACAGGAACAGAGAATTTATTTGAGAAGACAAATTCTTAAAGAGGGATCAACCTCACAAATAATAAAGAAATACAAGATAAGCAATTACCAGTTGGATTTTCATTGGCTTTTCATTTTCGGCAGTGTTTATGATGTCACTGTAAACCATAAGGAGCTTTCTGCAGAGTAACTCGACAGATCTGGCTACAGATGATTATATCCCTTGACTTAGGAGAATGCATGTCACAGAGTAACTGAAAATAGCTTGTTAAAACACAGTGTGTTCTAGTTAAAATCTAAGTAATTCAAATTACTACAGGTAGAGGAGTGGCTAGAAAATAATATGTTAATTTAGTGAAAAAGATCTTCAGAAAAAGCAATAGGCAAAATTTCAATGATGGGGACATGGCTAACAAGGACTTACAGGCTAAAAAAGTAAATTTCAAAAAAATGTATGTATAATAGTATTTTATTTCTACAATGGGATGGGGGTACTGCAGTTTGAGCAGAGTTGATTAAAGGTATTGTTATTTGTTATAGCTACTGGTAGGTGTTTTTATTACACAACTGATTACATATGTAATTTGTAAAGCAAACTTAGTAGGATTCGTTAATTGGAAGGCAGTTTAACATAGCAACTAGAGAATGAGCTTCGCAGCGAGACAGTGGGGTTTGAATCTAGCTCCTCCCAATTTACCAGCTTTGTGGTCTTTGGCAACTTCTTCAGGACTCAGATTTTTCATTTGTAAAATGGGAATTTATACCAACCACATTTAATCCCTGTGGTAGGGATTAAATTACTGATGTTTAAAAGGTCACAATTCCAGGAGCACGATAACGGGTAGACAGAGAGGAGGAAGAAGGAAGGAAAAGGGAAGGAAGGAGGAATGAAAGTTTAGAACTAAAATAAACTTAAAGATCTAGTATAGATCTGACTCCCATTAAATAAAATACAAAGCTGGCTCTCTACAAGGGCCTCTAAAGTAATGTTTCCACAACTGATGCCAATGATCCTAGGGAAAAACGGGATGGAGGGCGACACAAAACTTACTCATAATTTTTATTGCAATAAAAAACTGAGATGGTAGAAGATTGTCAATAGATGACAATAATATTCTGATGTATGATGAAGTCCACAGAAGGCTAGGTTTACATAAAAATTATTTTGACGAAACGCAAAGGAAATTTATTATGGAGTAAGGTAATATATCAACCAATCGATTAAAATATTAAACACATATTATTGATTATAATGCTCAACAACAGAACTGGTTTCTGTAGGTCCCGGAAACTTCTCAGAAATGAGCATTAAGGGTTGGGATACAGCTCAATGGTAGAGTGCTTACCATACACACAAAGATCCTGTATATTTTGTCCTGTAGAGACTGGAGACCGTGGCTACTTTTCTGCGATGGTCTAGACCTTTTCATCTTTCTAATTATTAAGTGATTTTAATTATTTGAAAGAGGCACTGCTTAAACAAATGATAGAATGCATGCCAAAGTGAAACGGAAGTGGGCGGGGGATTTAGCTCAGTGGTACCGGCCGCTGCAGGTCCCGAATTCAACCCCTGGTACCAAAAACAAAACCAAAAAAAAAATGTAAAATAGAAGTGTGTTCTAGGGTAGTCCTTAGAGAAAGTGTAGCACTATGGAAACAAGTATGTTGTAGGACCCTGAGAGATACCTTGTCAATAGTATATAAAGGAAGCAGGAAATATTAGGTGCTCCGTGGAAGATCATTATTACCACTAATAATTAATTTCCAGTTGTGTAGATGAAAGATAGTTGGATAATCTGCCAAAAAACAACTTACTTAAAACAGTTTGACTGACTGAATATTAATTTCTCAAAGCTGGCTTTCTTCTTACCTAGCAAAGTGAGGGTCAAAGGAAATCAGGAGCATAAGTGATCTTTAGGAGAGCCACAAACCTTGAAATGTTGGCTTTAGCTCCTAGGTACTTCATTTCTCACAATGCCAGAGCTTTCAGGCCCAAGTGCCACGATGCTGGATCTTGTTTGCCGGGGTGAAGCACTGTTTGACATCTAGGACTCCCACGTGGTGTCTCTCAAAGGAGCAGCACACGGGAGCTTGTCAGAGATGGAGAATCAGGGGACCTGCTCCATCTTACCGATTCACACATTCTGGGGATGAGACGCAGCATCCTGTGCTTTGCTGGACTCCCAAATAAAAACGCCTGAGTTGACAAACAATTGCTTTATTGAGAAGCCAGTCCTATACACAGTATAGAGCTTAACAAGGATTGCTCTCAAATAAGGTGTCTCCTTTTAACCACAAGAAAGAGTATTTTTCCAGAAATTATTCCTATATGAGTAGGGGCTAAGATAGAATGATGGGGAGGAGAGGAGAGAAGAGAGGAGAGAGAAAAGGACATTTTCTTTTAAAGAAAAGGGGGGGCCGGGATTTAACTCAGTAGTTCCGTCACCTGTGCCGCCTGCTTCGCAAGCGCAGGGTCCCGAGTTCAATCCCCAGTACCAAAAAATAAAAAATAGAAAAGGGAGAATAAGGAAAGGCTAGAAAAAAGAAACTACTAATCAAAAAGAGAGAAGAGAGACAGCAATAATGCAGGGGCCGTACTCCCAACATTCTTGGAAGCTAAGGCAGAATGATTCAAAGTCCGAGGCCAGCCTAGGCATCTTACCGATTTAGCATAGCACTGTCTCAAAAATAAAATTTTTTAAAGACTGGGGTGTTGTCCAGTGTAAAGGCCGTGGGTTCAAGGTGAAGATTTGGGGGAAAAGAGACTGAGAGGGATAGAAGATGTCACTTGGTGGGGAGCATACCTGTTGCTATTATCCCTAAATACAACTTAGTAGAAAAGCCTAAGGTTTCTCATTATTGGCCCAATCTGGTCACTCTGATCTCTTCCTTCTGCTGTATCTCATTCTCTGCTCAAATGCAAGGTCCCCTCCCACTAATACTTCAGAAACACCGATCGTGAACCAAAATCTTAAGTCATTTCAGCTTCTTTCCTTGCTCTTTTCCACATAGTGAATGCCCTGAATCATTACATTGCCTTTTTAAAAACTTAAACGTTTTAGTACAGTTTTAGATTTACAGAACAATTGAGCAGAGAGAACCTAGAATTCCATATGCTCTTACTTCCATGTTCCCTTGCCATTCTGTTTTCTTTATTAACATCTTACATGTTACAATCAGTAAATCAATACTGATATGATATTATTAGCTCTAGCTCATAGTATACATTGTTTCATTCTTTGTGTTATACAGTTCTATGTTTTTTCACAAATGCATAATAACATGTATCCACAACTATAGCTTCATACAGAGTAGTTTTGCTGCTGTAGAAACCCCTCAGCATTAGACTGACTCTTTTTTTTTTTTTTTTTTTTTTTTTCAAGGATCGAACTCGGGTCCTTGGGCTTGCGAGGCAGGTGGCAGAACCACTAAGCTAAATCCCCAGCCCTAGATCGACTCTTAATTTCTTTTTAAAATATCAAAAATAACTCAAATTTTTAGGACAAAAAAAAATGCCTGTAGATGCTAACTTTTATTAGTCTTACTATTATGATTAGTATTAGGAATGAGAAATGAACCTATATATAAATACCAAAAATCACAGCACTTTAAATATATAAAGAATCTCATAATTTAGCAAATCTAAAATTCCTCAAGGCTCTGTCCTTTAGCTTCCTCAGCCATTTATCTACTAACTCTGCTGGAGAGAAATAGATGAAGAAAAAAATGAAACAAATTTTTATTCTAAATAATCATTCTAAATACTGTTTAATCAAACACGGATTCTTTTTATTGCCCATTTGCATTAGGAACACAATTACTAGCTAGAGCTTAATTTGAGAGTGTTAATTATGAATGAAAGAAAGATGTAATAGTCTAAGAACAGAATGGAATTCACTGGGGCTTTATACCAGGAACATTTGTAGGATTTAGTCAGGACTATGAAGTTGATAAATAATTACTGTACATTATATTTCTTCTGCACGACCGTGGATTTCAGTCACAGTTTATAACGGTGTGCATTGGCACAACGGAAAAAATTAAACAACGACCTTGTTGAATGTTCTGTCCTCAGATTCGCTACTGTTAAAAATATAAATTAAGTAATTTAAATCTAGATCAGACAAAGATGATGGAGACTTCAACCCTTCTGTATTGTCACTTTAGGTCCTCTAGACATGAAGGATTTCTTTATGGTGCATTTATATTCCTTCTCATCCCTCGACAGTAGTGCTATCATGACTCCTTTTTGTTTTGAACAAGCTAATAGCAGGCTTTATTTTAATTTGCTCCTATTTTTAAGGTACATCTACTTTATATTCCTCAGCCTCTAGAATCTTTTATCATTAATCTCGGCTTCATTCAAATCACCAGAGCTATTTGGCACAAGCTTTATGCATATCTATTTGCAAAGTCTTCAGAAAATTACTATTTTAAATGTACTTTCTGAAAGATCTATTGTAGAACTTAAATTGAATATATTTGCCTGACCCTTTATAATGGATCATAATTATGCCTTTGCACAATTATCTGAGAAGATACTTTCTAAAGGGAAATTACTCTTCCTAAACTCTTTGTTTTCTTCAACAGCAATATATCAAAAGTATTTGAAAATCTGGCCAAGAAAGAAGGATCTGCTGAAAATTAAGGCTTACATTTATATTTTAGCATGCCAGTGAGGTTAAAAAAATACTTGTTTCAATTATTATTAATTTTAAAAATCAGGAGTACTAAAACAAAGGGTTTTTATCCAAAGCTTTTTCCTTTTGTGGAGCATGTACGCGGAATTGGGTCCAAGGCTTCTCACTGAGCTACATCCCCAGCCTTTTAAAAACGCTTCTCTTTTGAGACAGAGTCTTACTAAGTTGCTAGGGCTCAAACTTGAAATTCTCCTCTGCCTCCTAAGAGGGCTGGCTTTGCAGGTGTGTATCACCATCTGTAGCTCCAAATAAGTTTCTCAAGGTTAGACTATCTGAAAAACTGACTGTTGGCCTCCTGTTTAATCTACTAAGCCACATAAGGTATGTTCTTTGCCTACAAGATTCCTGGGTACCCCTCTCCCCCACTTAAGGTCATAGAGATGGTGGTGAAGAAACTAGCAGGGGTTGGCAACTTCTAATCCATCCAATCCAGTCCCACAGGTCTCTGTGAGACTCTGTCCTTCCAACAAAATAAACTCTGTTTACTTAAACCTCTAAACACCACCCTGAGGGAGGGGCTGAGCAGCAGCAGGGTTAGGATGCCAGCAGCCTCGTTGATTGACTGGTGAGATACACAATTAAAAAAAAAAAGATTATATATTATTACACACAATTCACTTTTATGGCTTTTATAGGTTGGTAACCTGTAAATAAATATTTTACTCTAATACTATAATCAATAACCTAGACTTGCTAAACATGATTCATGACTACCCACAAACCATTTAGAAAATAACCAGTTATCTCATACCTAGTAATTCTTTTATAAATATTTGTGTTATACTGGCAAATTTTTGAAATGCTTGGTTTGTTTTCACAGGAGCATGAGACCTGATTCAGACACTTCAGGTATGGAACAAATTCTCCTACATGTTTTATTGTGATCCTTGGTGTCCAAGAGTCACCTCTGGAGTGGTTAAGAGTGAAGGACTCCATCTAGACTTTTTGCACTCTTTCTTGGCTTTACTCCATTCTGAGAACTGTGCAATGGAGAAACTCATCCTCAAAGCCTGTCCTCAGACTGTCTTCCATGTGACAAGCATTCTGAAGGTTTCTTTTTCTATGCCGGCAGCATTCAGTTTTCTAGTTCCCTGAATCTAACTTATCATTCCCAAACCAATGCTAGTTCTGCAGACAGACTCCAACCTACAATAATAATAAGACCACCTGTGATTACCAATGGGTAAAGGAGATTGTCCACAACTAAATTTTTAGAAAATTAAGATCATTTACCTCCTTTTGTCTTCCTGCTTACATCTTTAGCCTCCCGCTGACTATCAGGTGATAGTATTTCATGTTGGAAAAGGGGGTGAAAAACAGTTTCTTCTTTACATATTCCAAGGTCAAAGAATCCTTAACTTGTAATGACATGCATTTACAGAGATTGTCTTAAGGTACACGTAGGGATCTTTCCCTTTGCAGTTGCTTTCTAACCCGAAAGATGGAATAGGCCTCAGCTTTAGTCATGCACATTTTTATGTATATTCTTTTAATATTATATAAAAAACACAGAGGAATATTTAATTCAGTTTAAATGAAAAGGAAAAAGTACCGCTACTTCAAGCTGGGTGTGGTGGTGCACGCCTGTAATCCCATCTCTGGAGAGGTTGAGGCAGGAGGATTGCCAAGAGTTTGAGGCCAGCCTGGGCTACTTAGTGAGTTCCAGGCCAGCCTGTACTACAAAGTAAGACCCTGTCTCAAAAATCAAAAACAAATAAACTACTACTTCAAGAGGCAAGATATTTGAAAGTATTTATAGGCACATTTATAGGAGTCAGTCCTACAAAAAAGAGCTAATGGGATATGTTTTTACACAAATGGGATTTACCTTTAGGTCTTACCATTGGTCATCAGCGTCTAAAAGTCCCACGTGAACTTCACCATAATGTGATGCCTATATTGCAACTTACATAATCAAACAAGAACACTGTAGGAAAATGCTATTATAGCTTATGAGAAAAATGCAACATTGCCTTTGCAGGTTATAGAATTTTCCTCTATTAATTTCTCCCCTGATATGTATCTTCATAAAGAAGTCAAATTAAATATTTAAATATGTCCAGTACAGGCAAATATTTTCCCATTTGCTAAAGGCAAGGGTAAATCTAATGGAAGCCTTATTACTAATATTCTAATTAGTATAGTTTACGTACATTCTGAGGATTCATTTATTTAGCTATGGAATTCTTAAATTAATGTAGGGCATTGATCTCATTGTCTTTACCTATGTGTAACTAATTCTTTCACCTGTCATCTGGAGCAAACACAATTTTTAAGAACACCTTGGCTGGGGATTTAGCTCAATGGTTCCAGCACCTGATCATGAACGTAAGGTCCTGAGTTCAATCCCTGCTACCAAAAAACAAAAAGAACACCTTAATGGTTTAGTGGTTAGATTCAGTGCTTAAACTCAGTTTTATTGAACAAGTGCTTCGTGCCTTTTCTGTAGGAAGACTCTGGGAGAGGGGTGGAGGGAAGAGAGGAGGAGAGAGAGAGGAAAGGAGGGAGGGGGAAGAAGAGGAACAGGAAGAGCGGGGAGAGAAGGACACATTACCTGGCCTTGAGATATGTGCACAAATAAGAGAAATCACTATGTCATTTAGTAACATAAGTCATCGTTAGTTACTGACAGAAATGGTTTATGTATACTCTAAGAGAAGAATGGAGAGCACATGAGCCTAGGAGGGGAAATCAAGAAAGACTTGAAAGAGACAAACTGGAATTAGAGGAGGGGAAAGGAGAGTGTCTTGGGTAAAAGAGATGGTGTAAGACGGACCAACAGACGGATAATTCTGTGGAAGGGTCATAGGGGATGCAGCTGGAAAGCGAAGCAGGAACCAGATTATGGAAATTTTGAATCTTGTTTAGAGATTTGGATACAATGTTGGAAGCTAAAGAGGAGTGCTGAGGGACGGGGAAATGAAAACATTACTGTCTCTTGTCAGGGCGCTGTGCTGACTACAGTCACTACCAGAAGACAAAGGAGGCTAGAAGTCCAGAGACCATTACGAAGCTCTTATAATGGTCTAGATGGAGGATGCCAGAGACATGAACCAAGTAAGAAGCAGTTTGGATGGAAAGGACGAGGGCTGGTGACACAGGCCTGTAATCCCAGCATTCAGGAGGCTGAGGGAGGAGGATCGCCACGAGTTTGAGGCCATCTTGGGCTACATTGTAAGTTCAAGGCCAACTTAAGCGATATACAGAGACCATCTCAAACAAGCACACACACAAAAAAAAAATGGAAAGAAGGAGACGACATCACAGTTGACAAGTTATTGATGGTCTACCTACGGGGACAAAAGAAAACACTGGCGATGATAGTTTGGGAGACAACATGATTAGAAAGCCTAAGTCCATGAACAACCTGGGAAAAGGAACTGGAGCAAATTTGGAAAGGAAAGATGAGGAATTCAGCTGTTGGAACTAAAGCTAGAAGCAAAAGCCACAGGTTTATGTTCTAACTGTACTTCCTCTGTTACAGGAACATACCATCTCCTCTCTCTGGCCTCAGTTTCCTCAATTATGGCGTGTGTGTGCTCACATGGGGCGTGCTGGGATGAGAAGGGTGTGACTAGTTGTCTCAAGGCCTTTTTGGCATTTAGGAGCTGATATTTTTGTGGCCCTGGGTGCTTATCAAGCTAACAGGCAACTTGAAATAGAGCTCTGGAAATCAGAAAGACAGCAAATTAACAGCAAAATCCTACCTTGAGTTTGTTAGCTCACAAAGATAGTACAATATACAAAATTGGCAGTTTCCCAAGAAGTATTAACTATTTCCCGTTTGTTTTCTTTCACGTGCTTTCTTGTTTCCTTCTACTTTTCTCTCCACGTCTTTCCATTTTTTCCCCCTACTCAGGCTTGAATAGTTTTTCAGTTTTCCCCCTGATCGGCATTTCTTTTCCCCATGTCCCCCTCCTCTAAATCACTTTTACCTTTCATGCACCCCTATTAACCCCTATTGCTCTTCACCCCAAGAAAAACAGATTAGCCAAGTCTTAATCCCTCCTCTCATTAAATTTAGTCTGAGCGTAGACTACAAATGAGTCTGTAATTCCAATTTCTCCTTTACCTAGAAGCCGATCTCTTAACTGCTCTCTCAGTGGTTAAAAACAAATTCCTGGCACTGTTAACTGCTCCTGATCGGCGCCACCCAGCTCCCGGGCAATGCTAGTTGGGAGCATGATCTCTAAATTCATCTGTCACACCTCTCAGCAGTTTCTCTTGCATTTTCTGCCTTCTGTGTAAGGTTTTGGTGACAGCACTTCAAGTGCACTCCTTATGGCAAGGCCCCAGGCCCCAGGCTGGACTTGTCTCTCTCACTTCTTGACTTTTAATTTCTTGCCTTTCTAGGCTTTATTCTCCTTAATTTTTCCGCACCCTTACAGGGGGCACAAGTGATAGGCTTATCTCCGATACTATGCTATTGTTCCAAGATGGAAAGGAATGAAACAAAGAATAAACATTTTAGGGAAAAAAGGAAAGAAAATTACTTATGAAATATTGAGAGTTTGCTTCTTTCTCCTACCTTTCTTTTCCATATTCCTCTTAAATATTGTAAGCCAAATTCTTTAGACTCCTAAGCAGCCAGGCTCATTCTCTGTTTATGAAACTGAGGCTAGAAAGAAAGAAAGAAAGAAAGAAAGGGAGACCCCGGAAGGAAACAATTTTGTAAAATCTAACAGTGAGCTCTGCTAGAAAGATACATTTTTGAAGAGGTGATTAGAACATAATTTGAATTTAAGACCCAAATTAAGTTCTTTCTCCTTCTGTGCCTTTTTCTCTCCTTCTTTTGTACCCTATTCTTTCTCATTTCCTCTCTCTAATGATCTTTCTTCATCTTTTCCTTCTCCCCTCTGGCTCTCTCCCCTCATATCAAATCCTCCTATTTCTTCAACCTTCTGCCTTATCTGTCTCCTCCTTTCTCAGGATAAAGAATGTGAGTAAAGGAAAGGAAAACAGAAAAAGACAAAATTAATGGAAAATATGTACAACAGTGTAAGGGTAAGTAGATTTAAAAAATTGTAAGACTCACACCGGGCGTGGTGGCTGGCACAGGCCTGTAATCCCAGCATTTGGGAGGCTGAGGCAGAGGGTCATTGCAAGTTTAAGGCCAGCCTGGGCTCCGTAGACCCTGTCTCAAAAAAAATTTTTAATATACTTTAATAGGTCAGACACTTAAATTATTAATCAGTTGAGTCTTTTAACATGAACCTCAATATTTTAACATACTACAAAAGAGATGGAACAGAGTGTCGAGGATTGGTATGGTTTCTGTTATTAGTTAGGATCCACGAGGGGTCAAAGGTAACACCTGCATGAGGAGGCACACAGGGAGCTTCCGGTGAAGCACCAGAAAAGAATCACGTGCTGCTACTGCTGCAGTGACTCCTCTCATTCTCAGACCTACACTTCTCTGCGCCCTAACCACGTTATTTCCAACTTGTCTTCTTAGATTCACTAACGCAGCCAAGCCCTCTGTCTTTCATACTAAAATTTTTAGAGTCCCAGTGGGGCAGTCACGTTCCACCGTCAGTTATGCAGCTGGTATGCTGCATGGAGTAGGGTGCACCATTCACAGTGTAGTTTATATACAATCCATAACCTGCACAACTGTGTGTGTCCCCTGGCTTAGTCTGTCTAAAGATACTACTATGAAACACCAGATCTGCAGTGAGGTGCTGAGTGTAAAACTTCTCTTAGCCAATGCACTAGCACCAGAAAAAGAGGGAAGCAATGCAACTTTAGAGCCCTTGTTTCTTTTGCTGTCTCCCCCATCATATTGTGTGTGCACGTGTCTGTGTCTGTGTCTATATCTGTGTGTGTGTGTGTGCGTGTGCACACGTGCGCACACAGAGTCAGCATTTAAGCACTGAGTTCACAGAATCAAAGGAAAGACTGGTGAGCCCAGGGTGGCTGTGGCAGGAACCACCTGCCCATCTTATGGTTCTGCTGATGGAAGAGAAATGTCCACTCTTCTGCTCACCCTTCTGTCACTCTGCCTCCAAAGCCAGTTTAGCATTTAAGCACTTACTTTATTTAACAGGCCCCCACCTGTTATGGTTGAAAAGCAAAGAGAAATATGCCCAGCCAGGCATGGTGGCACACGCCTGTAATCCCAGCACTGGGGAGGCTGAGGCAGGAGGATCGCTGTGAGTTCGAGATCATCCTGGGCTACATAGTGAGTTCCAGGTCAGTCTCAACTACAGAGTGAGATCCTGTCTCAAAAGAACAAAAAGACGATGTGGCCCCCAAAAAATTTCTGTAAAAAAGAATATCTTGGCCTCTCTCTATATATATTCCTTAGCCTGAATCTGTTCTTTGTCACATGTGTGCATGTGTATGTGTGTGTTTTACTGGGGATTGAAGCCAGGGCCTTCACATTGCGGGTAGGGAGGGATCCCCCAGCTCTTTCTTATTCTTTATTTTGAGACAGGGTCACTAAGTTGCCCAGGATGGGGTCAAACTTGTGATCCTCCTGCCTCAGCCTTCCAGAGTGCTGGGATTACAAGTATGTACCACCATATCCAGCTCTCCGTCACTTCTTTTCCCACTTTTTTTGTTTTGTTTTGTTTTGTTTTGCTATGTAACTCAGGCTGTCCTTGAACTCATATTGATCCTCCTGCCTCAGCTACCTGAGTGCTGGGATTACAAGTGTTCATCACCATGCCTGGCTACTTCTTTTCCCACGTAAAGATGCTCTTGATATTATCTATAATTTGTTCTGTTGTGGTAAACACTGACCAGGTGGCATCAGGGTGACATGTAGGCTCCTACATGCAACTAGGGAGAAACCCAAACCTCGCTATCTTTCAGTATAATTTAAATTTAGAGAAAAAATATTTAAAAGTCAAATCTGTATGTTTACATTGATTTTATTCTTGGATTGATTTAATCTATAACAAGGAAAATTCAAATATTAAAGTCTCATTGAGAGAGCTACAAAGAATGACAAAATATAATATATTTACCATACTTAAAATTTGACTTCTGAAATTGAAAAAACAGTTCCAAAATACTTCAACTCTGAGTTGCTGATATATGAGGAATGATAGATTTTTTTAAAATGGTGAAACAGTTTGTTACCAATAAATGCTTCATATTATTTCAAATGAAATAACATGAGAAGCTTTATCTCATTACAGGAGAAAAATGTGAATGTTTCTGAGCATATTGTAATATATGTAAATCTCATGGCTAAATTGTAGAACTCAGTTCAGCACAGATTAAGAATTTGTACATAATTCAGTGACATTTATATAAATTTTAAAGACTAAAAACCACAATCTCAGCAACTTGAATGGAGCCACATGTGGTGGCACACACATATAATCTCAGCACTCAGGAGACAGGAGGCTGAGGCAGGAGAATCAAAAACTCCAGCCCAGTCTGAGAAATTTAGTGAATTAGCAAGAGGCTCACTCAAACAAAAAAAGAAAGAAAGGAAAGGAGAGAGAGAGAGAGAGAGAGTGCGACACACACACACACACACACACACACACTGGGGGTTTTAGTTTACTACAAAGGCCCTGGATTCAATACTCAGTGCCACCAAACTGAAACCAAAACAAAGCCCAAAACAAACCTTGAATGGTTCAGGTTCTTGAGTAGAACTATCTTCTAAAAACAAAAATATTAGGAAGGCGAGTTTCTATGTCTTAATTTTTTATTTTTGGCAACGCTGAAAAGAGAAGCCAGGGCCTTTTGCACGCTAAGCAAGCACCCTACCCCTGAGCCATGCCCTTGACCACGAAGTGCTTAACGTCGCTTCAACCTCGAGATTTAAAGAAAGGAGGCCTGGAGATGTAGCTCATTGATAAAATGGCTGCTTTACATTCATGGGCAGCGCCTAAAGAAATCAATCCATAAACGTGTCCATAGTATTCTTATGTTCTTATTATAAAGAAAGACAGCATCGTAAATGTAATTTTACTTTTTGTCACTTTTTACTTATATTAGTTCTTGTCTTACACTTAAAAGTAATATTTTAAAATTCTGTAATTAAAAATATATTTAAAATATATTTAATTAAATGAACTAACTTCATCCTTTTTCTGTTTTGTTTTGTCAGATAAATGCAAATCACTAAGCAAAAAGAAAGCCCAGCTCAGGAAAGACAATCAATGCAAGGAGAAAACAAAGCAGACCTTTTACATGGCAGAAATAAAGGGTGCTACTAATACATTAAGAATTCAAATCCATGTCACTCTAATTTTAAAAGCCTAGTTATTTTAATTGTGTATGTCTGTTTGAAAGGAAGCCAGAGAGGTGTGCAAAACTGTAAGATTTTCAATTCATAAAGGTTTTATTAGATTTCTTTAGAGTTGTTAGAAAATTTATTATTCTCCATCTTTTCACTTTTCTCAAACATTAGCCCAGCACCGTGTTGTTCTAATGCTTGGCTGTGCGGGATCACTGAAGGTGAGGACTATGTTCCTTCCATTTTTGTGTTCTGGTTGAGCACCTGACACTGTTTACTGAATCAGGGAGTGTCATATTCCAAAAGCTTTTTAAAAAGTCCATGTACTTTTTGGGGGGGTACCAGGAATTGAACTTGGGTCCTTGTGCTTGTGAGGCAAGTGGTAGAACCACTGAGCTAAATCCCCAGCCCAAGTCCATGTGCTTTTAAAAATAAAATGGGGACTATAGGGCTGGTAGCTTAGTGGTAGAGCACTTGCCAGTCATGCACAAGACCTTGGGTTTAATCCCTTAGCACTGCAAAAACAAGAAAAAGAAAGAAAACAACAACAACAAAAAACTACAGTCACCACTTTTGGCGGGGGGTACCAAGGATCAAACTCAGGATCTTGTATTTACGAGATAGACACAGTGCCACTGAGCTAAATCCCCAACCCCACCGTTTACTTATTTTCTAAAAGCTGCCCGTCATTCTACAAGATGCTTTGCATGCACTATCTCACTTAATCTCCACATATTTCAAAGACTACTATTATTTTCCTTGTTTTGTAGATGGTGAAAGTTTAAAAGAAGTTTACAAGTTACATATTCAAGGTGACGCAGCTAGAAAGTGGCATCTGAGCCCTGAAAGACCTGTAGAAAACTAAAAGCAAATACCCAACTCCTGTTAGAACTCATGCATCTAAATTAGACAGAAGGATAGTCTTAAAAGGCTGTATACATCTATTTTACTCAATATCACACAAATAAACCAGGTGTGGTGGCACATGCCTTACAATCCTAGCTCAGGAGGCTGAGGCAGGAAGGTTGCTGTGAGTTTGAGGCTAGCCTGGGGTACATAATGAGT